GGACCGTTCCCTGGTAGCGCAGTGGCCCCGGAGCAGCTTACGAACGGGGCTTTCTCGCCCCGGAGCTCGCAGGTAGCAATCCGCCACCTCGACCTCTGGGGCGACAAAGCCCCATTCGTAAGTGCGGATCCGATGTAAGTCGGATCCGCGTAAGTCGGGGACTGCCTGTACTAATAATTGCAAAATGGCTCTCTTAAGTGCCAAAGATAACAAGCAAAAGAGGCAAGGAGTCCTGTGGCACTGCATCTGACGAATGCATCTGACGAAGTGGGTCTTTGCTCATGAAAGCTTATGCTCCAACACTTCAGTTAGTCTATCAGGTGCCACAGGACTCCTCGCCGCTTTTGCAGATTCAGACTAACACAACTACCCCTCTGATAAAGATAATGAGGAATCTAGAACCTTGAACCATAAAGTTGTGATTGTTTAAAAAACTGCCCCTCTTACAAAAGGAGTCTCCAGTATTTAAAAGACCTGCAGCTATTCTATAATATATGTAAATACTTTATTTTAGTAAGTAATTTTAAATATTTTTTCAGGGGACTTCAAAGATTTCCCCCACATTCCCTTTCAAAGTCTCACACAGTATAGCCATCATTCTTTTGGTTCTTGAGACCTGGAGGAGACTCTTAATGGGACTAGTCAGTAATGCTTCTTCACTGGACAGAGAACTTTTGATGTGGCAACATGAAATACACTCTATTTGGCTACAAGATCTACCTCCAGAGGTATGTGGTAGCCTAAAGATGAAGAAAACTTAGGTGAAATCCTCACCTACTGAAGTCAATGGAAAAACTTTCCTGACTTCAAAAGTACCAGAAATTTAAAAATTAAAGTGGTCTTAAATGTTTTAGCTGCAGAATATTAATGTTTTAGGACTATAGGCACAAAAGTGTTTTTTCCCAAAACTGCATTTCTAGGCACCTCAAATCTGAAATATTAAGAAATCGAAGAAAACCATTTCTTTGTTCTCTGAGATCTCCAAAACTCTTACAGATTCAGATTTAATCATAGAATGAGATTTGTGCTGGGATATGAAGGAACCATGAAAAGAATCAGTACATCACATACTACTACTCAGATTCATAGAAAACAAAGCTCTTTATCAAGAAGAAACATTGAAAGCTATATAACAAAAACAGAACTTACTGCATCTTTTTCAGGGTTGCAGACTTTCACCCAGAGTATATGATCTAAGAGCCAATCAATAGGTTTCTCCTTATAAAACATAAATATGAACTCTACAATAAGAGTGATATCTGGAGATTGGAACATTTTACCTGTAAAGATATTATTCTAAATTAATAATAGTTATTCTGAAACAATTCTTTGGTGATCATGAGCGTAGAGCAGTGGTCTCCAACCTTTTTACACCCAAGATCACTTTTTAAATCTAAGAACAGGCGAAGATCTACCGCCCTGCCCCTTCCTTGAAGCCCCGCCCTCTCTATTGTCCTCCTGTCCATCACTTGCCATCCCCAACCCTTACTTACACACTCTGATAAATGGTTTATTTTTAAATTATGCGATATATAAAATTAAAATCACGTGTTTATAGTTATGAAATAAATGGTCTGTTTTTTATTCATGATATTTAAATCTAAAATGAAGGTTTTATAATTATACATTTTGTGGAGGCAGAGTTCTGCGGCTGGGGGCAGGGGAGAGGGAACATGGTGTTGGGAGGGCAGAGGACAGGGTTCTGCAGCAGGGGACTGGGTGCCAGTGGGGACAGAGTTCAGGGAATGGGGATGGGAATAGGGACAGAGTTCTGTAGCTGGGAACAGAGGAGTGGGGACAGAATTCTGTAGCTGGGGACAGGGGAGTGGGGACAGAGTTCTATGGCTGGGGAGTGGGGTGCCAGTGGAGGCAGAGAGTCCCGTGCATCTGCCTCCTCCCAGGATTCCCCCCCTCCCCAGAGGGAAACCAGTGCGTGCCTCCCCCAGTGCTGACTCACCCCTCCTGTGCGGTGCAGGTAGCCAATGCTCCCTCCCGCAGTACACTCAGCAGAGCAGCTAGAGCACTTCCGGAATCGCCGGAAGTGGCACTAAGCTCCGGGAATTCTGTCCATCCCTGGGAAGCCGACACTACCTCCATTTTCACTTGAGGTAAGTAGTGGGGCTTCTTGGGGGTGAAAGGGAAATGGGGGCGGGGCGGACAGGATGCCTCGCGATCGACCGGTCAAAGCCTCACGATCGACCAGTCGATCGCGATCGACCTGTTGGTGACCGCGGGCGTAGAGTCTACCTTGTTTGTGCCAAGGCAAGTTGTATTACTGTCTCTCACTCAGAAATCACAGCTAATATCACAAAAGGGCATGTCAACAAGTTTTGTAAAACTCTATAAAACAAGACGACTTCATAAAACAACTCTTTATGGAATTACAAATCACAACATCTTTAAAACACTCAATTTACATAATAAAAAAACCTCCATATAAATACAGAAATTTTCAACAATTCCAAGAACAGAGAGCTTTAGAATACAAAAGTCAAACTTAAAGGGGACCAGATTTCTGTAAACTATTTGCAATACTATACTGAAGATTATTTCTCCGTATTCAAAATATTTATTTTCTGTTTCTATAGAGAAGTGGGCAATTGAGAGGGTGGGATTAAAAAAAAAATTAAGTGGAAAATTTGCTAGTAACTATTATCAGGGCTCGACAAATAATGTAATCTACTCGCCTGTGGTGAGTAGATTACAACCCGGAAGAGCCAGCGCAGAGCGATCTGCGCACGTGGAGAGCGCAGAACCGTGTGAAACCGTGCGGCTGGCGAGCTGGGCTCTCCTGCATATTATCACCTTCTACAGAATGATAGAATACTAGAATTGGAAGGGACCTTGAGAGGTCATTGAGTCCAGTCCCCTATCCTCATGGCAAGACCAAGTACTGTATAGACCATCCCTGATAGACATCTATCTAAACTGCTCTTAAACATCTCCAGAGATGTGGATTCCACAACCTCCCTAGGCAATTTATTTCAGCTTTTAACCAACCTGGCAGTTAGGAAGTTTTCTCCAATTGTCCTAATGTCCAACCTAAACCTCCCTTGCTGCAGTTTAAGCCAATTGCTTCTCGTTCTATCATCAGAGGCCAAGGAGAACAATTTTTCTCCCTCTTCCTTATAATGCCCTTTTAGATACTTGAAAACCGCTATTATCTCTCCTCTCAGTCTTCTCCTTTCTAAACTAAACAAGCCCAATTCTTTCAGTGTTCCCTCATAGCTCATGTTCTCTAGATCTTTAATCATTTCCGTTGCTCTTCTCTGGACTGTCTCAAATTTCTCCACATATTTCCTGAAATGTGGTGCCCCGGACTGGACGCAATACTCCAATTGAGACCTAATCAGCGCAGAGTAGAACGGAAGGATGACTTCTCATGTCTTGCTCATAACAATTCTGTTAATGCATCCCAGAATCATGTTTGCTTTTTTTGCAACAGTATCACACCGTTGACTCACATTTAGCTTGTGGTCCACTATGACCCCTAGATCCCTTTCTGTAGTATTTCTTCCTAGAGAGTCGCTTCTCATTCTGTATGCGTGAAACTGACTGTTCCTTCCTAAGTGGAGTACTTTGCATTTGTCCTTATTAAACTTCATCCTATTTACCTCAGACCATTTCTTCAGCTTGTCCAGATCTTTTTGAATTATGACCCTATCCTCCAAAGCAGTTGCAGCTCCTCCCAGCTTGGTATCATCTGCAAACTTAATAAGAGTACTCTCTATGCCAGAGCTACTCAACTTTGGATGCCCCGGAAGCCACAATGATACTCACAGTACATGATGAGGGCCGCAACTTAAGTGTGGTTGCATATACATGCAAATATATGCAAATAGCTTCTATCACACCGACAGGCATCAATACAAAGCACTTCCCACAATGCCCCTGCACTCCTGGCACCTCCTCCCTGGGGGCTAGAAACGCCAACACCCTGTACCCATCTGTTCCAGCCAGCCTGTCTACTTGTGTCTTTCAGTGCTCACCCTGCCTGGGAAACACCTTGCCATTGTGGAGCGTGTTCCCAGTGGAAGCCATGTTCAAAGGATCCCACCTGTGGGCTGCATGTTGAGCCACGCATAAACCCAAATTGCACTGTGGGCCACAAACAAATGGGCCACAGGCGGCATGTGGCCCACGGGCCACGTGTTGAGTAGCCCTGCTCTATGCCAATATCTAAATCGTTAATGAATATATTGAACAGAACTGGTCCCCAAACAGACCCCTGCAGAACTCCACTTATGTCCTTCCAGCATGATGGTGCACCATTAATAACTACTCTCTGAGAATGATTATCCAGCCACTTATGCACCCACTTTATAGTAGCCCCATTTAAATTGTATTTGCCTAGTTTACTGATAAAGTCATGCAAGACCATATCAAATGCCTTACTGAAGTCTAGGTATACCATGTCCACCACTTCTCCCTAATCCACAACATTTGTTATCCTATCAAAGAAAGGTATCATATTGGTTTCACATGATTTATTCTTTACAAATCCATGCTGGCTGTCACCTATCACCTTGTTTTCTTCCAGATATTTGCAGATGAATTCCTTAATTACCTGCTCCATTTTCTTTTCCTGGCACAGAAGTCAAACTGACTGGTTTGTAGTTTCCTGGGTAGTTCTTATTTCCCTTTGTATAGATGGGCACTATATTTGCCCTTTTCTAGTTTTCTGGAATTTCTCCTGACTTCCATGATTTTTCTCTTCATATTTGCTATTGCCTATGTTTGGCAGAAGCTAGATCATGTTTGTGGAGAGTGGATGGATGTAGATCCAAATTTTATATCTAGGCCACTGTAAATCTGTGGACATCCACTTCATATCTGTGGACCATGTTTGGGATCTGATGCAGATACAAATTTTGTATTCGCGTAAGGCTCTACTCATAGGGTTATACATTGCATGTCCCACATTTTAAGCATAAACAAGGATTCAACACATGGTAAATTTTAAATATTTTGCCTTTTCGGTCTCACAAAAAATTGCAAATGGCAAGCTCTGGCATACCACAAGACATTCCAGCTTGTACTATGCTAATGAAGCAAATCTATAACTAATTTTACATTAGTTGTAAAAACCACAGAATCTGATACAAAATCTACATTAAGGGCACGTCTACACAGCAGGGCTAAAACTTGAATTAAGATGCGGAACTTCAGCTATGTCAATTGTGTAGCTGAAATAGAAATAGCGTAATTTGGCTTTTGGTGCAATCTACACAGCAGGAAGTCAAGGAAGAACACACTTCCTTCAACTTCCTTTACTCCTCATGAAACGAGAGTTATAGAAGTTGGAGAAAAAAGTCCTCCATCTCAACATTATTTTGAAATAATGGCTTGCTGTGTAGATGTGCACTTTGTTATTTCGAAATAACATCAGTTATTCCAAAATAACGCTGCTATGAGACTAGTTAGTCTGTAAAGGAAATTCAAAAACCTTAATTATGGATTTTACTTGGGTTTATCTCCTCAATCCAGAAACTGAGATCCATGGCATTCTAGGTTGCAGTCCAGTCTCTTCAGACAAAGGTTGGGCAGTCACAGAGAGTTACAAGGTGTACAGAAAATTCTTTAGCAGGAGAGCTGAATCAGAGAACAGAAGATCTCAAATAAATAAACTTTTAGCTCTCCACTTTAGTCTGGTCATTTTCCTGTTTTCACTCCTGCCCATTTTGGAGCTATGAAACTAATAGGAGGTATTTTACCCTGTGTGACTCAAGATGAAGACACACTAGTTTTTGCCTGGCTTAAGAAAAGGGCGTTACTCATCTTGTGCAGTAACGTCTGTTCTTCAAGGTGTGTGTCCCCGTGGATGCTCCACATATGGTGTCGGGCTCATCCCGGCACCGCAAATTGGAGCTTTTTCTAAGCAGTTGCTAGTCGGGCCGTACATGTGCAGCAGGTGTCTCACGCTGCCGGCAGTTTGACAGTTGAACGCAGCCCGACCCTCTCCCCTCAGTTCCTTGTCTATCGCAGAGAAGATGTACTCCGAGTAGCGGGGAAGAAGGGAGGGTTGTGGAGCACCCACGGGGGGACACACCTCGAAGAACGGATGTTATTGCACAAGGTGAATAACTCCCTTTTCTTCTTCGAGTGACGTCCCCATAGGTGCTCAACATATGATGATACCAAGCAGTGTCCCGTGCGGTTGGTGGGACTGGAGTTACTGTTTAATGACTGCAGACAGAAGTGTTGTAGCCACCGCTGTATCATTTTTCTAATTGGGACATTACTGAATAACATTTAGAGAGTGTGTGGTTAGAGGACCACA